CTCAAATCTGGTCATATTAATCACCTAATTTGCATAATTAGTTAATTTTCAGCTTTTCCACGGGTATCTCAAGTACTAATCATTATATTTCAATGAAACTTGCTACATAGATCTTCTAGGACCATGCAGAGACCTGATTAGTTTTAGGGTAAATAATTGTGGATATTAATTACCTAATTTGCATAATTAGTTAATTTTGTCCATGAATGTTCCACTGATATATACAGAACCACCAATTGGATTTTTAATGAACTTTCAAAGAGTACTCATCATCACATTTCAATGAACCTAGGACTATGCAGAGACCTAATTAGTTTTTGGTAAATATTTATGCTTATTAATCACCTAATAAACATAATTAATTTGGTACATAAATGCTCTAGGACAATAGACAGGCCCGATTAATTTTGGGTTGAAATTTGTTCATATTAATTCTCTAATAATAATTCATAGTTTTTTTGTTCTAATCACATTTCCATGAAACTTGGTACATAGATATTACATTATGCAGACCTTATTAGTTTTACACTCAAATCTGTTCATATTAGTTACCTGATTTACATAATTAGTTTTCAGCTTTTCCATCAATATCTCAAATACAAGTAATTTTGAATTAATTTTTAATGTGTCTTCAATACTCTCAGCACACGGAAGTTCTTTCTAAGCTTTCTTTGATTTATTTCTTTTGATAGCTTGGCATCCATTTGGTTCAGCTTAAGTGAAATATCCCTGGTCAGATTTTAATGACATTGAAAATACAAGTACTTTGGCTTTTTCCACATTCTTAATATTTTATTTTTGCAGAATCTCGTGAATATTAATTTGACAACTTTGTAGAGTGGAAACAGACTGGTGAATTAGTTCATCCTAGACTTTGGTAGAACATGTTTAAAATAGTACAGTGTGAACTGAAATTTCTTTCTGGGTGGTATAAATTTATTAAGTAATATTTTTCGTACTAAAAAGACTCAAATATCTTTTTCAATTAAATCTAACAGCCAATGGGAGCACATATGTTACAACTTCTGCTTACTTTGGACTAAATGTTCTTTTTTTTTTTTTCAGGTGCAGAGCCAGAATTTTTTCTGTCAACCAAAGCATAAATATGTGTTTTTCTGTACAAAAAATTTCACACTATTTGTTAATATTAATGTATGATAATAAAAACTTGATAATATTTTTCTGGATTTTTGCACTTTATTTGTATCATTGTCGTATGAGAAAGTAATCTTGTCCAAGTATTAGAGATATTGAAACTAATCCAGGGCCACAAACTAGTTTATCCAAACAGACACAACACTGACTCTACATATTTGCAGATCTGATTTGTATACTTCCTTGTCATCTTACCTGTTGTACTGGTTTGGTGCTAACTGGTTTCCTTGCTGAGAATAATGCTGACCTGGATGGAGAGTGCTATAAACTTGAAAATGCCATAGAAATCATGTTTGCCAATTTATGTCCATGCAACTTTAGAATGACAACTAGCGAAGGCAGTGTCATTCATGACTTGTTGGAATTAGACATGTTTCACAATTTAGAAGAGTTTGAATTAAAAAATTAAATATATTCAAAATTCAAATGCTGCAGACTAAAAAACAGAAACAAATAAACTATTGTTTCAATATTATTGTCTATTGTACAGTTGTGCAATAAATGGACTATTTTGGGTGTAGATATAAAGTGTGTCACCGAAGTACTCGCGCGTGTGCACGATTCCAATAGTTTGTGCTGTGAAGAAACTCCATTAGAAAATAAGTATTGTGTAATTTGTAGTGAGAGTGTATTCAAATAGATTTATGTTTATGAATCTTGTTTCTTTTTCAAAGTGTATTTTACTATTTATATAATAAAAATTGTTTATGAAAATGTTTTTTCATACTTTTTCGATGGATTGAATTTACAAATAATGAGTTATTTTGTTATACCAGCACTCAAATTATGTGTTACGAATTTCTGATAGTTTAGGCTTTGTGTTCTTGCGAACGAGAAGACATTTACTTGTGTACAGTGGACATCGATAAAAGCAAATGTATTTCGAAAGCTGTGAAATCATGGTACTGTTTTGGCATTATACAACTTGCAGTTCCCTTTTGATGGATTTTATGTGACTGGCCGTGTTATTGAACTGTAGTATTATGTAAATCTGACCCGGGAAAATCTGCAAGCAAAGTTTAAATTTCCATTTTATATATCGTTTTGTATAGCGTGGAGTCGTCATCTAAGTATGCACAATTGTTCGTCTCGTGTTCCCCACCGCATTTAAAAATCTCTTGAATTTAGGGGACTTTGTGTGACTGACCGTGCTGTTTGTAAACTTTAGTCAAACTGTAGTAGTGTGTAAATTTACCACAACGTGGAGTTGACATTGTCTCTTGTTTACCAACTCATTTAAATACGTTTGTGCCTCAACAAGGACTGAAAAGTGATTTCCATTTGTTCGTCTATTATAAATCAACTGTATTAGCTTCCTTCGAACTTCCTATTGCCATCGGGATTATGTCTACTACACTCGGCGGTGTCGTGCGTATCGATCTTTTTGTATGAAATGCACCCGAACCCAGAAAACTACGGCAAATCGGGTTGGTCACGTCACGTAATTTCATTCAATTCCAAGCATTATTCACTGAGATATATTCGTTAAAACTCGTTCCATGCTTGATTTCACCTCATTATGCATGTATCTATTACAAAGAAACACAAATCAGTTAATGACAGGACTGACAGGATGCGTGTCGGTCGGTACATAATTATAATAACAATCGGGCAATAGTCCTGGTCGGAAGCATTTCTGTGGTGGTCGCTAATTTTGAGTGCCAGTCGGGGCCGACTACTGCCAACCAGCGTGGCGAGAACCCTGGAACTAATCAAAAATGATTGTTGTTATCTAGATATTGTCATCACTGGGTGCACTGACAGCCGCTGGTGTTGGACTTGTAGCCGCTTTAGAGATGTCTGTAAGGGCTGATGAAGAACACACACTTCATTCTCCCAAATATCCATGGAGCCACAGTGGAACGTTTGCTGCATTTGATCATCGAAGGTAATTAAATTTATTTTCTGAAGATACAAAAACCAACATATTAAAATTGTATTCCTTGTAAGATTTTAATGAAAACGCTTGTGTATCTGTTACTAAAACAGCAAATCTGAAAATTACTACGTTAATTAGTCTTCCTGAACATACTTCGTTGTTTAGTTATTGTCTTCCCTGCAGTTAATCTCATTATCCACTGCTGTTTGAATTCTGCTACAACTGAACATTAAACCCTACTAACCTAGGAAATTCGAAATGATCAACAGTTAGCTTGGACACAATCGTTGATGATTAAAGGGAATGCTTTGATTGATTTTTGTGATATTATCATCTTTCCATAATTAGTCTGCTGCTATATGTAACATATTAATAAAAGTGCTGCCTGTTTATCATTAATTTTTCAGTATTCGGCGTGGATTTCAGGTTTACAAACAAGTCTGTGCTGCTTGCCACAGTATGGACTACCTTGCATTTCGTAATTTAGTTGATGTATGTTACAGTGAGAAAGAGGCTAGAGTGTTAGCAGAGGATGTAAGTATACACCTAGTCTACCAGCTTGTATAAACCAAACTCTAACAGCATTCAGCATTTTTTCCTAACATTAGTGTTCAACATCAGTTACTGTAAACATATCAATTATTCACTGTTTTTAATTTTTATATTTTAGCTGATAAGTAAATTACGCTGAATTGAATCTATATTAACTTGTAGAATAACAATAGAACTCTTGTTTTGTTGCCAAGTTTGTGAAAGTTCTCAAAACATCAAAACAGTGACGACAAGTCCAATTGCTTTGATATTACATATATAGGTACTACATGTGGACCTCTCTCAGATTTGTTCATTTTGTAATGATATCTTTAATTCTCTAAATTTGGTAAATATTTTTGTCATTTTGGGTAAAAAGTGATATTTTCGACTTCTTGTTAAAAACCACAAGTCCAATTGCTTTGATATTACATATAGAGGTACTACATGTGAACCTCTTTCAGATTTGTTAATTTCGTGGTGATATCTTTAATTATCTAATTTTGATGATTGTTTTTGTCATTTTTGGTGAAAAGTAATATTTTTGAATTCTTGTTGAAAACAGCAAGTCCCATTTCTTTGATACTATACATATTGTTCATTTTCTAATGATATTCTTTTTTTTAATTGAAATGTGCATTGATAACAGCAGAGCTATCTCAGCCGACTGGCTGCTTGTTACAAGTGCACTCAAACCAAATATTGCATTACCGGTACTTGTATGCTGGATCATAGCTTACTGTGCCTTTGTTTGACCATAGGCACATTTTGTCATTTACTTAAACATATGTGCCACTATTAGACAAAATATAGTATTATGTTGAACACAATTTCTGTTTCTCTGACTCCAAATATTAATCAGTACCTAGATTTTGATTAATCAGTGAGTGAATATTCAATTTTGATACATTTTACTATTTGGACATGTAACGCAAAGATGGCTAGTCAATAGTATTAATATTTTGATATCTTCATTGATATAGGTACAGATAGAAGATGGACCTGATGATGAAGGGAATATGTTTATGAGGCCTGGTAAATTATCTGATTATTTCCCTAAACCATATCCAAATGAAGAAGCAGCGAGAGCTGCAAATAATGGTAAGTTATGCAAGTGTACACACAATATGTATGTTAACACATTGTGTGGAAGGCTTCCATGGGCAGTTGATATGAAGGATATAAGATGGCATCAGCAGCTGATGTGTTGAAGTGTTTCAGTCATCACTTGGTGCATATTAAGATTCTGTGTAAAAAAACTATTGTCGTCACATGATGTAAATATGCTTCCCTTCCTTTCCTCATAAAACCATGTGTGATTCTACCAAGAGGCCAAGTATTTAATAAATAAACAAATAAACAAGAGATGTCACGAGAGGGGCCATATTGTTCTGGTTGTTTCTGGTCCAAGAACCACAAGATTCCAAATATACTTTCTCCTCATTGATGGTCACATGAACTTTAAAAATCTTACTTTCAGACATCAACGTCATTTCTATGTCATAGCACTATTCTGAAACATTTGACATGTTGTTTTCAACAGGTGCATATCCACCGGATCTTAGTTATATCGCATTAGCTCGCCATGGCAGTGAGAACTATATCTTTTCAATATTGACTGGTTATTGTGACCCTCCAGCCGGAATTGAACTTCGAGAAGGCCTTGCATATAATCCATATTTCCCTGGTGGTTCTATTGGTATGGCTCAACAGTTGTACGACGGTGGCGTTGAATATGATGATGGTAGGTTATTCTCCAGAATGCTAAATATTCCGTAAAAACCCGCAAATAAGCGCCACCCTCAATTAAGAGCCACTCAGTGAAAATTTGTTACATTTGACCCTCCATTAAGAGT